ACATGCTCGTCATTGGCAATTATCAACCGAGCATCTTTTTCATATTGTTTCTGTTCAGTTTTGAACGCTCTCTTCAAATCTATTCTTAAATTTTGTTAGTGGTGGAGCCAGGATTTTGCACTGGGAGGGGTTCATGGGCGGCTAAAAATTACTTGAGGGAACTAAATCTCCTTCAGCCACTCCGTGGATCCGCCACTAGATTTTGTCTAATACAAACTGCAAGTCTGAAATTGAATTAGATTTCACAGCATTTGACCCAACAAAATTTGAAAATTCTAATTTTGTGTAAAATCCACGTAAAATCTGAAGCATTTTTTTAAATCTTTCATAAATTCGGACTATGGTTTCAGAGAAGGCGAAAAAACTAATCTTGACTGCTCTATGGAATCAGCGGACAACTGTGTTCTTCATCAGGCAAAAATGTCATCTATCATACCATGTACTAGGAATTGGTGTATCTCTGTATATCATATTGAGATGAAAAATGAATAAAAACATCGAAATTCATTAAAAAATGAAAATATAAATAAAAATTGTCGATATCAATGATAGGGGTCGGCGGCGGCGGCGGCGGCTAATAAATTTTAAAATTTCGCATGCCATCGGCGGCGCGACGGCTGTAATAAAAGTGCCTCAGCGGCGGCGGCGGCGGCTCAGCCGCACGGCTGACACCTCTATATACGACAAGTCAATAGAGGACGAGCGTGTTGAATTTCACAAAGAAAATTTTTCTCTGATTCGTGTCTGACGCAATACTGTGGTTGCGGTTGACACTTAATTTTCTTTAACGCTGTTTTTCAGAGATGTGAATCACATTCTATGTAAGTTATTTTTCCCATTGAGAAATGAAGATGTCGAGAATTTTCATTAAGCATCATTTGCTATATTATTCCATAATTATAAAAACTCAGTGTACGGGAAAAGCAAGGGCATCCTACGAAGGATTCGTTTATCCAGGCGATTTGCATATTTTAAATGACTCTGGTCGAGTTAATAAAATAGTTTTTTATTTTATCAAAAAACAAATATTCCGATTGTAGTCTATCAGATGATCATCTAGATACATATGTTAAAACTTATTCCTTTTTTCAATATCTTGAGGATACAGGTGCAATGAATACAAATACTCACACCAACAACCTCCACGATGAATGCATCATTGTTTTGAATTGGTCGGAACATTGTTGAAATATATTATTCGTAATAACGATCAATCACAATGGATAGACATGACATTTTATACTTGATCTGACGGTTATTGTACATATTTGACTAATCATGTTGGACCTCGTCATTCATTTTTCGCTTCCTTTGAACACTATATATATATATATATATATATACTCGCACTTACTGACAAAACAAAATCCCTATTTCGATAAAATAATGTCGCTATCGTGTGCTATCGAAGCATGCAAACGTAAATCGCGAGCATTATGTCATGGTTGCAACACGAATTTTTGTCCTGATCATTTCAAAGAACATGTTGATTTAATAAATTCACGAATGAATCCTCTTGCTGATGAAATAAATACTCTTAATAATCAATTGTTGTTATTCGATGTTGATGAAGTTATTGATAAATGTCGTCAAAAATTGGATAAATGGCGTCATGAATCTCATGCTATAGTTGATCGTTTTTATGAAGAAAAATGTCAAGAAATTCAATAGCGTTGTGTTGAAAAAGTTGGTGAAAAACGAAAACAACTGCATCAATTAAAATTAAAAATAAATGAACTGATTCGAGAACAAGATGCTACACATGACGATATTTCTTCATTGAAAGCAACTATTAATGGTATCAAACGTGATGTCAACCAATATGAAGAGAATGGCGTTGTAGTCGATGTCAATCCTTTAATTATTAATCAAGATTTAGTTTACATCGAACAATGGACATCGAATGAATTTGATATATCAACTCTTGCGTCATCTTATCGAACAATTGCTTGTTCCAAAGATAATTGGCCTGCCATGACTAGCAACAATCATTTTTTGTTAATAGATCAATATCCAAACTTATGTTTATATGATGAAAATTTGACTCTTTTAAAAGAATATCCATGTGATTATGATAAAATTCCTGATATGTGTTGGTCATCGGCATTAAACAATTTTATTATCATAACAGAAGGACATGGAGTCTTTCTGATGAATGAAAATCTAACATCACTTGAATGTATCCAAACGATCGAGAAGAAACCATGGTTATCTTGCACATGCTCAGATTCAACTTTATTTCTAACGATGAATGGATCCGGCTCTGATATTTTTCAATTCAATTTTTTATCGTCCTTTCAATTCATGAAACAATGGAAATCTCCTCAAACTTGTTAATCCGACGAGATTATCAATAGTATTGCTTATAACAATGAAACACTTGCTTTAATAATAGAAAGCGAAATCAATGACAGAAAGCGCATAGAGCTTCGATCTTCAGCAACATTCGATCGACTCTAGTCAACCACATTTAATGTATCATATGATCATGAACAATGGATAAATCATGTGTGTGTACTCAAATATAACGAATGGCTTGTAATCGATTGCGGGAATTCACGTCTTTTCCATGTTAGCAAAGACGGACAACTAAAGGCAAACCGTTCATACGCACCGACAGTTGAAAATGCTGTTTTATTTGGTACAAATATATTAACTACCAAAACTGTAGATAAGGTCAATTGTTACAGAATATAATAATAGAACTGTATTGTTGTAAATAAAAGTAGATAGATCTACAGTGTGTATTAAGGATTATAATACATATCTTGCCAAGTCGTTGCATGAAGTGTTCTTTTCTTCTGTACACGTTTTTAGGATGTGTGCATATGGGTTAAGAGTAGTCTTATACCCACAAATAAGTTAAAATCGCAGTCATGATCTCGGCAGCCTTAATTTTAACTCAGAGTTATGTTGATTTCAACGTATGTATCAATATGAGTTCTAGATGTAAGTGAGAGCATTCATTTTTCAAACACTCACACTACAGACGATTATTTCAAAAACATCAAAGTAGCAACAAAAAGAGGAAATGCTTTTATTTAGACTACAACAGTTGAAATCAAAACTAACAAATACAAATTAACTTGTTTAAGATGAAGTAAAACACAGTTCTTCAGAAATATTAAGAAATTCCAAGAAAAATTTAAGTAGATGCAGCTGATTTTCTCGATTCATTCTTTCTGAGAACGATCGTTATCTCTACTAGAAGACCACCTAGCCCTATAAGAGCGCCACCAATAATTACCAAAGGTAAAATAGAAAACTTTCTGCTCGGTGATGGTTTTGCAAATACCTCTCTAGTTTGGTTGTATTCATAGCCAATGGTGATTGTATCGTTTATTGATTCAACTGGCGAAGGAAAACTTGTAGACAATGTGTTGTTGTCAATGGAACGTGCCAAAATTATCTGCGTTAATGCGATCAGGATCAAAACTTAAAGTAGACAAATAAGCTCATTTTATACATTTCTTATGAAAACCTTACCTAGTTTAATGAGACTTTGTTTCATGCAATGACTGTGGAGTAACTATATGGTTATCAAACAGAAGATAATTATGAACGATGATTATGTTGTTGCATTGTCAACCGCTTNTCTTATGTAAACCTTACCTAGTTTAATGAGACTTTGTTTCATGCAATGACTGTGGAGTAACTATATGGTTATCAAACAGAAGATAATTATGAACGATGATTATGTTGTTGCATTGTCAAACGCTTTTCATTAATATAGAAAGAAATTCAAAGAGCCACCTTCAATACAAGGTTGGCCCATATGTTTGATACATAACTTATTCACATTCATGCGTTATGGTGATATGACTCATGCTATGCATGACCATAATATTTCTCATAACGTCAAATGATGACGATAGAATAATAGGCTTCTTGGCGAATATGACTTAGAAACCGAGTCCTAGAAAAAGTCTTCATATATCCATTTTTTCCAAGAACCAATGCACTGCATAGTCTGGAATTATAAGATTTATCTTCGTCATTGGTTGGGATCAATTGTAGAATTATTAGATTGAGCAAAGAGCTAAACGAATGCCATGGATTCGAACTCGTAAGTTGAATGATTCTCTCAAGCAATTCACGTTAGCGGAAAGTTCTTATTCAAGCTTCGATTCTTTTTTTTCATTTATTTGATCACTGATACGTGAATTTCGATTGTTAGATAATTTCTCGCTGAGACTAACAGGACATCGAATTGCTGAATCATTGTTCAAAAAATCAAATAAATACTTTTTTGCGTTTCCGAAAAAAATCATTATTGAATAACATCGTATATAAATATCCAAGAAAAAACGATTTTTTGTTCATTCAATGTTTTCAATAATTAATCAGGGAAGTTTTCGTCATTGATATAAATAAAGCAATGTTCAAATCAAACGAATGAATTCATTCGAAATTCATTTTTACGCATTCACAAAGTGAAATATGAAAGAAGAACTAAAACACGTAAGACCATGTAGCTAAGAATGAAGCTAAAGTTCCGTGCAATGGTTGGTATTGACTATCAACTAACAGCATTGACTTATTTATCTCACAAGATTTTCGAAAAGAAAAGATAGAAATTTCGTATTTTTCAATTGCGACACTAAATCAATATTTATCGCATAGACTAAACATCCGTTGTTTTAATGCTAAGAAGATACTATAGACGAGACACATGCACCAAATTATCAACGATATTTTACTTGATATCATCTTTCCCAGAGTAGAATTTAAACGAAGATCTTTTGCCATAAAAAAAATATTTATTACATCGATCGATAAGTGACTGTATCAGTAATTTGTTTTGATTTAGTGAATAATATTACTAAAATAAATCTAATAAGGAGAAAAAATCAACAAAACTACTTTCAATAAAGATTATTTTCACTTGCCATCGATTTTCAGTTTGCAAAACTTATTTATTGTATCAAAGAAGGGTGCGTGTGCAAGTGTATAAATGTGGATAATTGATTGATCCATTCCCGCACACCCAACGAACTAGATCTGCAGCAAATCACGAGTTGGTTTAAATTAATAGCGCTCAGATCTTTTGAAATCAGCAAGATTCTCGAAATTTCATCAACGATTCTTTTCGCTGATTTCGATAGAATTAGTCGAGCTGAAAATGTCACTCACTTATATTTTAATCATTCAACCTATGGAAAAATAATTATAAAGAGATATGATATTCATTTATCTATGTTAAACGGTAGCAAAAAGAAAATCGACTGAAGCTTACTTTCCACAAAGAATATTTTCTTGTTATCAGATAGTATACGGAAATCAAGTTGCATATATTACCGAAGTGAAAATCTTTCGAATATGTACGATATTCTAAGGCATCTATTTATTGGTAACTGTCACAAAAAAATATTGATTAGACCATTCTGGGCAGCAGCTTTGTTTCTCTAGTTAGACACCTATCATGAATCATGTCCAGCGGGAATTCACGGTCACCATAAATATATCATCCGTCTATTGATATAAATCCAAGGGGGAAACATCGTACTTTTGTACTTTAAGTACTTTGAAATACTTTGAAGTACTTTGAGGTACTTTGAAATACTTTGAAGTACTTCGTGGCACTTTGAAGTACTTCATGGTACTTTGAAGTACTTTGAAATACTTTGAGATACTTTGAAGTACTTTGAGGTACTTTGAGGTACTTTGAAATACTTTTGTACTTAGTTGTATAGTTCAAAGTAGAAAAGTACGACGTTTTACCCTTGGATAGGCTTTCATTCAGACACTAGAACATGTCCAATGGTATTGAATCTGCCTCCTACCCAGGTGAATGAATCCGA